CACACACACACACACACACACACACACACGCTCTCAAAGCATGTGGTCAGGACATGCAGACTTGATTCCATGAACCAGTGAGGATCTCTGAGCCAGCAAGAGTCATGATCAGAAGACGAGAAGGCAAGAATTTGAGAAGGTCCAATAGACTTCTGCCTAGACCGTCAAGAAGAGGTTATCCTCACTCCATTGCTAGGAGCAGAGGTTTGATTCTCCTTCATTTATAAATATATAGATTGGCTTCAGTCCTCTTTCTCTCGACAGGATTTATTGGGTAGCTACTCTGTGCCGGGCTCTGTGCAATGGTGATAAAGATGTCAATGACCAGGGCCCCATGGTGTCCCCAGCTGAATGATCACACCAGCACACGTCAAACTGCAACTGGATGAGAAAGAAGAGGAGCAGGTGCTCTGAGAGGCTCCCAGAGTGAGATCTGATCTCTACCGAGGAACATCAGGGGAAGGCTCCCCTGAGAATACAAGACCCCAGAAAGGCTTCATGGAAGTCAACGTGAAGAGGCAGAGAAGGACATTCCAGGCAGAACATGTGAACAGCACGTGCAAAGGGCCTGTATCGCAAGGAAGCCTGAGAGGAGGAGGCACTAAGCTGGACAAGGAAGAGGCTGGAGCATGTTGAGATGAGGATGGAGCAGGCAGGGGCTGCAGCAACACTGCCCGACAAGTCTCTGTGAGGTGCAAACGCTCTGTATCTGCACCAGCCAACGCGGCACCACTAGCCACATGGGAGTGACAGGTACTGAAATGCTGGTGAGTGTCTCTGAGGAACTGAATTTGTAATTTGATTTACACAATTTTAAATCTGAATTTAAACAGTCATGTGAGGCTAGCAGCTGCCACACGGAACAGTGCAGGGCTAAAGCACTCAGGGCCTCAGAGAGCTGGGAAGCCACTGAGGGTCTGAAGCAGAACACTGTCATGACCACACCATTTGGCCACATGTGGCCTGGCTGCAAAGAGACCACACGAGACGGCAAACAGCACAGATGCAGGAGACAAGTGGTAATGGTGACAATGACAACAACGAGGACCATGATGACCAGGGTGGTGGCAGTGCTAATGGAGATGTGAACATATTCCAAAGCGATTTAAGGGATTAGCGACCCATTCTCTGAGCTTGGGAGCACCAGAGGAAGGAAGGACAGGCTCGTGGTAGGAGCAAGACCACAAGGTTGGTTTTGGCCAGGGGAGGACAGGATTCGGTTCCTTCAGGCCGTCAGTGTGGATGAGCTCGCCCGGCAGGGCAGCAGGCAAGGGGACGAGGTCCAGGACCAAACTGTTAGCAAGGGCGACATTTAACGATCAGACAGAGGACAACAGGGCAGGAGACCTACGGGGGCTCTCAGAGAAGACACAGGAAAAACTGGCAAACTGGGTCTCCAAATCTCACGGTAGACAAGGAAACTGAAAACACACATCCACACAAGGGCTTGAATGTTCTTAGCAGTGTTGTTTATAGTACCCAAAAACTGGAAATCACCCAAATGTCCATCATGGTAAATGGATAAACAAAATGTAGTATACACATACAATGAAATTCTATGAAACGATAAAAAGGAACTTCAAAAGCATTATGCTAAGTGAAAGAAGCCAGCCACAAAAGACAACATCCTATGTGGCTCCCTTTATGTGAAATTTCTAGAAAGGACAAACCTACAGAAACAGAGCAGATCAGTGGCAGCCTGGGGCAAGAGCAGGGATTCACTGCAAACAGTAGGAGGGAACTTTTGGGGCTGATGGAAATGTTCAAAAATCGTACTGTAGGCCAGGCGAGGTAGCTCACACCTGTAATCCAGTTTGGGGAGGAAAACACTGCATTGTAGTTATGGTTGTACAACTGCATAAATTTATTTTTTTAAATCAATGAATTGTGTACTTTCGATGACTATATTTTATGTTATGTAAATTATACCTTAATAAAGCTGTGCTTTAAAAAAAAAATCTGTGGTAGAATATGTACTTAAATATCAGCTCTTCTTTTTCAATCCAGTTCACATCCAAAACTTCTTAGTACCCCAAGTTCAAATATATCAAGCACCAAAGCATCCTTGTCCAATTTGGCCACAAAACCTGGAATTTATTATTATGACAAGGCAAAGTCTCAGGCTGGCTGG